GAAGATAAGAGGCTTAGTGATAAAGAAAAAGTTTCGCCATTGCATGGTTCTCCTTATCCTGATTAGTTTTAAAATTTTGTTATTTGTGGTTAAGTGGGTTAATTTTTGGAATAGGTCACGGGTTCGAATCCGTTCGTTGGAATTTTAATTAATTGATAAAATTATATATTTTTAAAATTTGTTTTTAATAAATTTTTGTTTTTTAAATTTATTTTTTAATTTTTAAAACTTTTTTTAAACACTCTTTAAGCAAGGCGACTTTAATTGTAGTTGACATTCTTTGATGTTCTATAACTTTTGAACGGGTCAAGCTTTAAATTTAATTTTTTTCTAAATAAAGAGTAGATCGAGAGTTACAAAATATTCTTAAAATTTAATTTTATCCTCCCTTTTTAAAAAATTTCATTCATTAAATGCCCTCTTAAAAACCTTTTTTTAACTTACCCAGCCAAAACTGCCTTTATTTTTTGCTCATCGATTGACGATGAGACCATTTTACGGGTATACTGCATATGATAAAAATAGTGCGGAATAAAAGTGGAGAGAGAATTGTTGTGTTTAAATAAATATTGAATTTTTAAATTTTTTGTCTTTTATTAATTTTAAAGTTTGCCATAATTGGGTTGCCCAAAATAAATTTTTTATTTCTTTAAAGTTGTTTTTAATGCACGAAAGTATAAAACGAATATTTGATGGAATTCTACTCTTCAGGAAATTTAAACGCCCAGCAATGGTTAAAGAATTTGAACGAGTTCGTGACCACCCCGATCCCCGAGCAGTTTTGTTTACGTGTATGGATTCGAGGTGAAAAAATTAGAAAATGCCAAGTCTTAAAAATGTCCATTTTCTGACAGATTGCAGCCGTCCAAGTTTATGCAGGCCCGGATAGGTGACCTTTTTGTTGTGAGGAATTCAGCGAATATGGTGCCCCTTGCCCGGAACTTTGGTAATTTTTGAGAAATTGCTTCGAACAATATTTCTTATAAAAATAGGAGGAACTGCATCAGAAGTTTCTGTCACAACTGAACCAGCTGCTCTTGAATTGGCAATAAAGTTGGGTTTAAATTAGAGGTCGGCAAAATCGTGTTTGCGGGATCCCGCGGGATAAAATTTTTTTAAAAATCTTTGCGGGACGGGATCCCGCGGGATAAATCCCGCATTCCCGCAAAATCCCGCAAATCGAAAAAAGTGCGGGATTGCGGGACGGGATCCCGCAAAATCCCGCGCGGGATCCCGTCCCGCGCCGACCTCTAGTTTAAATTTTCAAAACGTCCAATTTCAAATGCCCAAAATTCATTTTGTCGGTTTTCCTTTTCAGGCGTGGAAATGTCTGTCAAGTACTTGTTTGTGGCCATTCAGACTGTAAGGCAATAAATACCCTTTATCAACTCTATAATGGAAGGGCATTTGACCCCGAATCTCCTATGGACCATTGGTTAAGGCATAATGGCCATTTGAGCATCCAAAAGCTTGATAAACTTGTTAAAAGTGGAGAGAGTTTAAAAAAATTGGAATTTGCTTCAGAAAATGGGTTGATGAGGTGAATAAAAATTATTTTCACGAAATTTCGAAAATTCACGAAATTTCGACTTCAAAACGAAATTTCGACTTTAAACGAAATTTCGACTTCAAAACGAAATTTTCGAAATTTTTAAAGATTTACTGCCCAAATCGATCCAGAAAATAATTATGGCGTTGAAGACAAATTATCACAAATAAATACTTTACAACAACTAACAAATATAGCTTCACACGAATTTTTACGAGAACATATAGAGAAGAGGCTTGTTGGTCTACAAGCATTCTGGCTAGATATATTTACTGGAGAACTGTAAATTTAAATAAATAAATTTTTATATTCTAAATAATTTTTTTAAAGTTATTTTTTCTCAAAGCGTCAAGAACGTTTTGTAGCTATTGATGAGGATAACGCTTCTTCCCTGTTAAAGGAAGCTTTGTGTTCTGTTGATGATTAAATAAATATATAAAGAAGTTTTTAAAAAATAATCTCAATTTTGACAGATATATACATTAAATATTTTTTTAGTTTTTAATTTTTTCAAAAAATTTTCTAATTAATTTCCAAGAAAAATAAATTATTTTTTATTCGCGCATTTTCTGAGTAATTTTGGCAAATTTTCTTTGTTTATTTCACAGCTAGACATTAAGGAGAAAGAAGAAAATCCAATAAATCTTAGTGCAATTTCTTTAATTTTGTCTCCCTACTTTATCCTTCTTCAATCCCCTCAGACTCTAATTCCCCCAGCAAATTCCCCCCAAATTAAACTAAAATTAAATAAATATATTTATGGGACAAGAGCGGAAACGACGGATTAATGCCTCTTTTTTAAAAGAATTAGGCTGGAGAATAAAGAAGAAAAAATGTCCGAATTATTGGCCGACAGGAGGCGGATTATTCATTTTACTTCATTATACTGCACGCAACTGAATTTAATGTAGACATACATATTTTTATGCACACTTCCTTTTTTAGTTTTAGAGTAAAATAAATGTTTTATTAAAATTTACATAATTTTAAAGTTTTGTGATATTCAACTTAGTTTAATTTTACAATTTGTAAATTTATTTTTACAATTTGTGTTTCCAAGTTTATTTTTTTTCTATTCAAGTTTGTATTTTTATTCAAGTTTTATTAAAACTTGAATATCTCCCAACTTAAAATATATGTGTTTTTCAAGTTTATTTATTTCAAGTTTGTATTTTTTATTTTTGTATTTTACAATTTGTATTTTTTCAAGTTTATTTTTTCCTCAATGCTATTTCTCTATTCAAGTTTGTATTTTCTTCTCAAGTTTTACAATTTGTGTTTTTTCAAGTTTATTCCTCAATATTTATCCTTTCAAGTTTGTACATTTTCTATTTAAGTTTGTATTTTTAGCCTATCTTCTATTTAATGAACAAACTTGCAATAATTTTTTCAAGTTTATTTAAGTTTGTGTAATAATTGAAAAGAGAAAGTTTGTCACATTAGCTGGCTAAAACCAGGTCATTCCCTCTTATTTATTTTTAGCTTTAAGTAAGCAAAAATCACCTGACAATGATTGAGTTAATGCCGTTAACAACTGACTTGTCATTATGGCCTACCAAAAATAGAAAACACCAAAAATAGTCTCGTGAACATTAAAACACAGGAAAAATAACTATAAATTATTTAAATTATACACCAAAAATTATTTTTTTAAATATCAAATAAAAATATTGTTCTGATTATTCTCCAAATATTTTTTTCATTGTCTATTTTATTATCAGAAAAAAAATTGGCAATAATATATAAAACATGTCGCGACTAAAAATGATAATAAAAAGGGTAATAAATTTATAAAAAAAGTAAAATTGAAAGCCAAAATAAATATCAGGGAAAAAATAAAAAAAATTTGGAAAACTATGTATATTTAGAATTTATTTATAGGTATTTTATTTCTATATTTGTAACTTTTACAAGCAATTTTCACAATTTAATTGTTGTCTTTAACTTTTTTCACTAATTGTGAATATATTTATTATTTATATTCTAAGTTTATTTTTCTTAAGTGTACTTATTTTGTTTTTCTTTACAATTTGTAATTTCTAAGTTTTGATTTTTTACAAATTGTATTTTAAGGATTAATTGTTTTACATTTTGTTATTTTCAAGTTTTGATTTTTACAAGGTATAATTTTTAATTTTTTCACAATTTGTAACTTCCAAGTTTAATTATTTACAATTTGCGATTTCCAAGTTTCTATTATTTACAAATTGTATTTTAAAGTTTACTTGTTTTACATAAGTTTTACAAATTGTAATTTTGAAGTTTGTATTTATTATTAAATTTGTGTTTATTTTACACAACCTATTAATAAAAAAAATATTTTTTACACATGTCAGACAAATCTAAGCTTATTAACTTATACAGATGTTCGCCAGTTTTTCTTCACATTAAAACCCTAAAATAATGTTATTCTTTCTTTCTTTTATGGTAAAAAAGATGGCACGGGAAGGATCGCTTATATCTTTCATCCTAAAAAATATAAAAATGTCTGGTGGATGAACTGGCTTTTTTGAGAAGAATTTTTGCTTTTTTTATTGGATCATCAAAAATCGTTTCCAAAAAATTTATTTTGGTCAACAGACGCTTTTTTATTATTATTTTTGAAGAGATATTTAGAGTAACGTCCAGCTGTTTTTGTTTATCTCTCATATTTAAAAGGCAAATATTTTTAAAGTTATTTTACAATTTTATCAAAAAATTTTTTAAAAGAAAATTTAAAGAAAAAATTTTCTGGCAAAATTAAACTAAAAAATTCATTTTAATTTTTTATTCATTACTTTAATAAATAAATCTTCCCCTCAACAAATAAATATTTTTTAGGAGAACAGGTCATTTATCAAATAAAAATGTTTGTGTCATACATCCAAAAAATAAACTGTTAAAAAATATTTATTTATTTATTCCTTCTACCCTCTATTTATTTTTTGCTTCTTAGCCTATTTTTTTTAAAAAAGAAATCCGAGAAGAACATAGAGTTGGGGTGGATGGGGGAGAGTGTGGAGGGGGGGGGGCTAAAGGGCTAGGCCAATGGCCATTTGTCCATTGCGGCGCTTTCTTGAAATTTTTGGCAATTCCACAGAGAGAAAAAAAGGGAGAGATTTGTAAGTGTAAATGGACATTATAATAAATAACCAAAAATATAAAACTTTTAAAATATTTACAAAACTCTTGGGAATTTACAATTTTATTGTCAGATTTGTATTTCCAAGTTTATTTTTTTTATTTTAAGTTTACAATTGTAATTTTTACAATTTGTATTTTTCCAAGCTTATTTTAGGTTTATTTCTACAAATTGTAATTCTTTAAAATTTATTTTTACAATTTGTATTTTTCCAAGTTTATTTCAAGTTTATTTTTGCAAATTGTAATTTTTACAATTGTAATTTTTACAATTTGTATTTTCCAAGTTTATTTTTTAAAATTATTTTATTTTCAAGTTTTTATTTTTAAGTTTGTACTTGCAATGTACTATTTGACCATTATTTGCCCAGCACCTCTACTAAGTTTTTCTAAGTGGCCGCCAAGCTGTGGCCATATCCGTGTTTTGTCCATTTTCCTCCTCCCACAACTAGCATTGATTCTCCTTTTACTTTGTTACTTAGTGACTAGTGGTCAGCGATATATCTGTTTCTCACTTTAGGGTTTTCCTTGGGCTTTCCCAGGAAATTTATTTTTATTTATTTTTAAAATATATTTTATTTGTATGTTTTTTAAGAATTTATTTTTACAAATCCAAAAAACAAACAAAGAAAAATTCTCTTATCAGTTAAATTAACCCAATTATTTTTAATTTTATCAGAGACCTTCTGCCGAACATTTTAGTAGATTTTTAAATAAATGATTTAAAAAATGAAGAAGTCAAAAAAGTAAAATCTTATGATTTACTTGCGGAAATTTATATTATTAAAAATAATAAGAAAAAGGAAAAAATTTAAACTAAAATAGCGATGTTTTTTAGTGATGTTTAGAATAATTTGTGTTTTACAATTTATTACAATCTTTAATTTTTATATTCGCAATTTGTAATTTCCAAGTTTATTTTCTAAAAAATTAAAGAAATTCTTTAAAACTTTATATCAAAATTTAAGTGGAGCGGCCTATAATGTAATGAGAGCCGTATATACGGACACGAATGTTATTTTCACAATGGTTACTCCAATCCACATTAATATATTCTATACTTTGGATATTTGTAATTTTATTACCTATTTATTGCTTAAAAAATAATTTCGGAGAAAAACTGGAACAAAACTACATTAAAGACAAAGACAGATTTAACGGGTCTTTTATTAGAAATCAGGTCAGATTTATTTTAAATTTTTGAAAGAATTAAATTATATTTTATTAAATGATTTTTAAACTAGTTAACCTCAATTGTAACCCAAAAATTAATTTAATAATTAACTTTCCTCTAGCAGCTTTTTAAACGCTCGGTTTCATCGTTTGTTTAAAGAGCTGTAAAAGAAATTTTTAATAAAATTTTCTAAATTTCTCTTTTCATAAAAGGCAAATAATGATGAAGCTCAAAAATGTTTTATATCACCACTCACTTCCAACATTTCCCCAACAAACCATCAACTCCGGCGCCACCACCGTTGGAGAAGGGCCCCAGCGGTTTGGGGCGATCCAGCTCCAGATTATTCTTTAGCAGCTTTAGATCCTCATATAAATATTTATTTGTATGCTCTTATTTTTGTTGATTTAAAAACGGTTGGAATTAAGAAATAATTATTTTTATTGATATTTTTTAAAGTCTGATCACTACAGACGCGAGCATGTAATCGTTAAACGCGAAGTAATGCGTCTTGCTAAAGAAGCAAATAATGCAAGTTTTTCCTCAAATTTTTAAAAAATACCTATCTAAAAAATGATTTCAGTATTTTTATCAAATAAATCTCCGTTTAATTGTTGTCGATGTTTTGGAGACATTCCGGGATGACTTGTCACTTTATACTTTTGAGCTTTACCGTAATTCAAGAATGGCACAACTTCCTTTTCATGATTTTGCTGTTTTAATTAGTTATCGATATGCCGGAGGACTTGCTTTTGTTGGGGGAATGTGTAATTCTAAGAGTGTAATGCTTGCTGGGGTTCGAAGAATTATTTAATCTTAATAAATTATATTTAAAGTTTTATCCTCACAACCCAGAAGCAATGGCTTCTATATTCTTTCATGAAGTAGCTCATCTTATTGGAGTCCCACACCGTCCAGAAAACGAAACTTTGAATGTTCCAAACTGTGCCTGTAATAATTTAAATAATCCAGAAAAACACCGATTACAAAATAAAAGAGAAAATAAGGAAGGAGAGAAAAAATTGGAAAGCAATGCTATGCTCGATAGGCGTATTTCTGGAGCTGGATGTTTGAAAATTCCGTAAATAAAATTTAAAAAATTCTGAAAAAATATACATTTCTTCAAGCGGTTTTGACCAAGACTGTACATTACAATTAATGGTAAATATGGCTTTACGTACACGTTGCCTGCTGCGCGAGCCAAAAGCAGAGGCACACACTTCCTCACTTCCAATTTGTGGTAATGGGGTTTATGAAGAGGGAGAGCAGTGCGATTGTGGGCTAGCTGATAAATGTAATGAGTGGAATTGTGTACCGGAAAAATGTATCAGGAGATGGCCGGTATGGGCTGTTGTAAGTTTAAATAGATTAGAAACCTAGGGGTATACAATTTTACAATTTATGGGAATAGAGAAAATGAGTGGAAATCAAAATTAGAGAAAATTACAAATCAATTGAATTATTTCCGGAATAGAATATGCCTCCTCTGATTTAATATAGAATTCTGAATTTTTTTTCATTTCAGTGGCTACTAGGAATTATTTTTGGACTTATAGCATCAGGTCCATTTCTTCTATGGCTTCTCTTTCCCTGTGCAGTTGCTCGTCTACCCCAAACATCTGTCAATTCTCCAAAGTGCCGTAGACGTTATTATCATTTCTTTGTGCCTATACCCCCTTTTGTTGGAGGAGAGGAAAATAACAATAAAATAGCTGTCAAAACTTCCCGACAAAAGCCCTCAACAACCCCTCTTTCTACCAAACAAGTCTCTGTCGAATTACCAGCCGAGCAAACAACGATAAAAACAATTAGACTGCCGTTTATTGAATGGTTGCTAACTAGTCGGCTTCGAGCCCTTTGGGAACGTATAAAATGGTCAATATGTAGTGGAATGATTGTAAGAAGACGAAGGAAAAGATTAAATGTAAATAAATAAATAGATTTAATAGAAAAGTATTTTTATTAAATTTTAGAGTCAATTCAATGCAGGCAGTCGAAGTTGCGATATTGTTAGAAGACCCGTCAGACCACCTCCCCCACCACCATTGAAAAATAATCTTTGGTAAGAAAAGATAATAATAAAATCAGAAACTTGTTTTAAAATTTATTTTATTGCAATATCAGAAAATCTGAATTTGTAATTGCAATTAAAGTTTATTTTCTAAATTGTAATTTTTGTTTCAATGAAATCAGAATTTGTAAACTAACAATTGTTATCTGAATTTAAATTTTACAAATTCTGAATTTTATCTGAGGGAATATAAAGATTAATAAAATTCTGATTTTTAAAATTCTGATTTTTCTGATTCCGAAATTCTAAATTTTAAAATTCTGATTTTTCAAAATTCTGATTTTTCTGATTCCGAAATTCTGATTTTTAAAATTCTGATTTTTCAAAATTCTGATTTTTTCTGATTTTTCAAAATTCTGATTTCCAAAATTCTGATATTTAAAATTCTGATATTTAAAATTCTGATTTTTCTGATTTTTAAAATTCTGATTTCCAAAATTCTGATTTTTAAAATTCTGATTTCCAAAATTCTGATTTTTAAAATTCTGATTTCCAAAATTCTGATTTTTCTTTAGTTATTCTTCCAACACCCTCAACAGACCAAAAAGACCACCTCCACCCCTTCCACCTTTACCTACGTCTTCTGGACTTTCTAATTCTTTTATTCGTCCAAAAGTACTGCCACCTTCCCCGCCATCTTTAAAAAACCAAATTGAAATTAATAATAATGAAACAAAAAGATTCATTGAATTTTCTAAGGAATATGAAGACATTTATGATGAAAATAAATGGAATGATGATTTTGATGATGATTAAAATTTAAAAAATATTACCCCTCATAATTTCTTAATTTTATGCTTAACCACTGCCTTTCATTGTTTTTAAAAAATTAATTTAAAATACTCCTCAATTAATGATATTTTTATTTTTAAACTTGCCAGTTAATTGTAAATATAAAAATATTATATTACAAATTCTGATATTCTGGTTTTTGTTAGGAGGGAAAAGTTTATTTTCTGAATTTTAATATAATCAGAATTTGTAAATTCACAATTATTATCAAAATTACAATTTTACAAATTCTGAAAAAAGTTTTTCAATTTTTACAACTGTAAATATGAGTGCAATATAAATTCGTTATTCTGAAAATTACAATTTTTGATACAATTACAATTTGTAGTAAAATATTTTACAAATGGATTACAAAATTATTTGTAAATTTATTTTTAAGTTGTTGCATTATGCACAGTATTGACAGGTTTAACCATTGTTGCTTGTTGCACAGCGTTAAATTTAATTGTAATACTTATGTTTTGTAAAAATTTTGGGCAAAATTTTTTAAAAATAAATTTTCTAAAAGTATCACTAGCCCAAAACAATAACCAGCTAGGCAAAACAACAGAACCAAAATCCATAGTCCAAGGATATTGTGTTATTACAGCAGCAGCATATTCAGGTTGTTTAAATATTGTTGTTGATAGCTAAATAATTGTGGGAAATGAAAATTATTCAAAGAAAACATTGTTTAAACATGTTTTACGGAAACTAATTTAAACAATGCTTTTCAAAAAGAAAATTAACGATAAAACAAGGTTCAACAAACATTGTTTTTTCAAACATTTCTTGAAGCAAAACTTAATAAAACAATGTTTTCCGGAAAGAAAATGCTCTCTAAACAAGGTTTTCAAAAATATAAATAAACATTGTTTTTTCCGTAACTTTTAACTAATTCAGACATTTTTCCGAAAACAAAATTCAATAAAACAATGTTTTCTGGAAAAATATTATGGTGAATTTATCTAAAAGAATGTTTTTTTGATAACTGAATTAAATAAACAATGTTTTTCCGGAACGATATTAAATATTTACTTGTTCTAAAACAATAATTAAATGTCCAATAAAAGTAGCAATAGCATAAACCATTAATTTATATTCGGTCTTTTCATGATGTATTTGTTGATTACTTTTATTTCTTTTATCCTTCTTGCAATGTTTTCGATAAGAAATTAAAGTTGCAATATTTAGAAGAATACAAACAACCAAAAAGCTGACACAGAGAAAAACATTTAAAGGAAATCCTTGATAAAAAGTCTAAAAATTTTATTAAATATTTTATTTAAAATTTAAAAAGTTAACTAACAACTTTATCCTGATTTATGTAAAAACCTCCAGAACTTGTATCATTCTGAAGGTAACAATTTACAGTGAGTATTGGTATATACAATAAAGTTGGAATTCCAAACACTGCCAATGCAGAAGGTAAAATAAGTTTATTCCAAACCTTGAGGGAAACAACAAAAATTTTGTTTCAAAATTTTTTTTAAATTAAAAAAAATTTTTCAGATTTTGTTTGAACGTTTTATTGAGTTTTCAGAATAAAAATGTTCGAACATTTTTAAAACTTGTTTAAATTCGAACATTTTTAACGAAAACAAAATTAATTCTGGAAGCAAAACATAATTAAATAAACAATGTTTTCCGGAATAATGTTGACAAATATTAACAGATTACTAAAGATAATTAGTTAAATTTTTTCACATATATTTAAAAAGAAACAGGCTATTTAAATACCCTTTTATAACTAATAGCCATAGTAATTGCAGTCCAACGATTTGCAAGAATTAAAGAAGTCGCCAAAAAATCAGCTAAAGTTGTAGAATATGTAAGGAAGAAAGAAAGACGTAACATCCAATTTGGCAATAAATCGTAAAAAGGATATAGCCAATTACCGAAAAGAACTGTTAGGCGATAACAATAATAAGAGTCGAGTGTGTAGAGGATGTTCTGAAATTAATTGAAAAGATGTTTTTCCGGAAAAAACTTGTTTTTTTGGAATATTTTTGTAATATTAAAAACATGTTTTTCCGGAAACATTTATTTATGTATTTTATTCGAACATGTTTTTCCGGATATTTAAAATAAACATGTTTTAAAAGTATATATTTTTCCGGAAATGTTTTCCAGAATTTGTAATTGTAAAATAAACTTACCGGAACGGAACGAATTAAAAAAAGTTTGTAAAAAGGATTGTGAAACTCTTTATTTCCAATAATTGTAATTATTTCGATTAAATAAAGAATTAAAGAAGGAAGACTAATTACAATTGCAAAATAAATAAATTGAATTCTTAAAGAGGAGAGCCAAACAAAAAATTGGATTGTCATTGAAAATTACTATTAATTATAATAATCCTATATATGTATAATTTGTGAATCGGTGGAATTTTCTTGATAATTGTCACACGGCTTGCTTTTATAGTAAAATGATTTGGGGAGTGAGGAAATGTGGGCTTTTATAGTAAAGTGATTTGGGGAGTGAGGAAATGGGGGCTTTTATAGTAAAATGATTTGGGGAGTGAGGAAATGAAGGCTTTTATAGTAAAGCTGTGAACTTGAAATTTTGAAAAAGACGGAATAGTAGAGCAAAATTGCCCCATGGTTTTAGATACAGTTTTTGATGCTCTTTCGATTAAGCTATCGCTTATGAGGAGGGTCCCTAAATTCACAGAGTTACACGGCTTTGAAGATTTTCAAATATAAATTACAATTTTCAATTCCATCTATTTTATCTTTGAGAAAGATTTTATAAACAAAATTGGCCCATGGTTTTAGATACAGTTTTTGATACTCTTTCGAATAAGCTATAGCTTATGAGGAGGGTCTCCAATCTCATAGAGTTACAAAGCTTTGAAGTTTTCAAATTTTAAAATTGTATTTTATATTCCCATATATTTTATCTTTTGAAAAAGCTTTTTTAAGAAAAATTGCCCCAAGGTTTTAGATACAGTTTTTGATGCTATTTCGAATAAGCTATAGCTTATGAGGAGGGTCCCTAAACTCATCGAGTTATTGATAGCTGATAGGTTTGGGCGAGTCTTTGTCACTCTACAAGTGAATTTTTTTACTATAAAAGCAAATGGTTTTCATCACTTTTATCACTCCATAGTCTCAACTCTACAACAACAACAACCGACGACGACCGACAACAGCAGCAATCTCCAGGTACCTGGCTGTAGCAATGTATTGGATATAGATATAGATTTAGATATAGAAAATAGAAATAGTCTTAGTGGTAGATCTAAGTTATCTGCTAAAGAGCGAAAGAAAAAGCAATTAGCTAATGAATCAGACGAGCAAAGAAGAATTAGACTTGACAAACAAAGAGATAGAAACAGAAAGAGATTTAATAATGAATCAGATAGAGATAGGGAAACTAGATTGAACTACGGAAGAAATAGAATTGCAAATGAAACAGAAATAGATCGAGATAATAGACTGGATAAGCAAAGAGAAAGAGATCGAATTAGATTAGAAGATGAAACTGAAGTAGAAAGACAAAGTAGACTTGAATTGCAAAGAGAAAGGAGTAGAAAGAGATTATCGAGCGAATCAGAAGTAGAACGAGAAAATAGATTAAATGATAAACGAAATAGAATTAGCAATGAAACAGAAAAAGATAGAGAAATCAGGCTTGAAAAAGCTAGAGCCAATAGAATCAGAAATAAGCAAAGCGCTGTGCAGTTATATGCTGCTGGAGATAGTAGTAATGTTAATAGTCATAGACTCGGACGGATGGATGTTGAGTGTACCCATTGTGGTGCTCTGCATTTTCCAGAAGAGAAGATTAGTAATAAGGGTAGTACGTTTAAGGACTGTTGCCATTATGGCAAAGTTCATTTACCAATGCTACCAGAAGACGAGTTTCCAGATTTGTTGAAGAATTTGTTTATGAGATTAGATGAAAGACATAAGAACTTTTTTGATTGTATTAGAAATTTGAATAGTAGCGTTTCCATGGCTTCCATGAATCCGCTAAGATATAGATATCCAAGTAATAGAGGCCCATACTGCTTTCGCATATGTGGTCAGATTTATCATAGAATGAATGTAGCTTTGAATCCAGATCCTGAAGATGAACCTGCTTATGGGCAAGTCTTTATTGTAGATACAGTGCAAGCTATTAGTACTTTGCATAGAGCCAACCCGGCTATAGACCAACAGTTGTTAGTTGATGTATATGAATTGATAAAAGAAATTAGTCCTTTTGCACAAGCTTATAGAATGATGAAAGATGAAGAGGATGAAGAATTAGAAAGAGCTATAAGAGAAAATAGGTCTCCGATAGAAATAAGTTTGTTATTTGATACAAAAAGTAAATTAGATAAAAGATTAGGGTACAATGTACCAAAAGCAAATGAAGTAGCAGCAGTTTATGTTCCAGGAGCTGATGGCGAAGTGCCTGATGCTAAGATTGTTGTTAGAGAGCGAGGAAAAGAGTTGAGAATTTTGAATAGTACAAATGAAATGGTCAGCCCGATGACGTACCCGTTGTTTTTTCCACGTGGTACCTTGGGTTGGCATCCAGATATTAGACAAGATAATAGTACTAGAAGAGTAACAAGACTTCAGTATATAAGTTATAGTATTGGTATTAGGAAAGAGTTTAACCCCATTCTATATGGAGGAAAACTTTTTCAACAGTATTGTGTTGATGAATGGGTAAAGATTGAAGGAGATAGAATGAGATGGATTAGAAGTAATCAGAAAACTATTTTTGCTGATGCTTACAAGAATGTTGATAGTTTTTTAGAAAAGAGAGCGAGAGAATCTGGGAAACCGTTGGGGCGGAAGGTAATTTTGCCTCCATCGGTTACCAATTCGCCTAGATATATAGAAAAGCACTTCCAGGATGCAATGGCATTAGTGCGACGGTTTGGGAAACCAGACTTGTTCGTGACTATGACTTGCAATCCACAATGGGAGGAGATTGTAGAGAATTTGTATCAAGGACAAGTTTCAGCAGATAGGCCAGATTTAGTTGATAGAGTATTCTATCTAAAAGTAAAAGCATTAATGACTGAGATAACAAAGACTAAGATTTTTGGTAGAGAACTTTGTTGGATGTATCCGGTAGAGAACCAAGGTCGGGGACTACCGCACATCCATCTGCTTTTGACCATGTTTGATATTGATAAAGTTACTAGCTCTGAAGATGTTGAAAAGCGTGGAATTAGTGCTAGAATACCAGATAAAGATATTGACAAAGATTTGTTTGATTTAGTTAAAAAGCATATGATCCATGGACCATGTGGTGATTTGAATCCAAATTGCCCATGCATGGAAGAGAAGGAAGTAAATGGAAAAAAGATTAGAATTTGTTCAAAAGGATATCCAAAACCTTTTCAAGAAGAGACAGTAGTATTAGAAAATGGTCAAGCATTGTATGCGAGACCTAGAGATAAAAAAATAGTTGAAGTATTTGTTTCAGGAAAGAGATTTGAATTAGATAATAGATGGGTTGTTCCACATAACCCTTATTTGTTAAAGAAGTTTAGATGTCACATTAATGTGGAAAAAGTTAATAGCGTGACTTCAGTTAAGTATTTGCATAAGTATGTGCACAAGTTACCAGATAGAGCTACTATGAATTATGAAGAGAAAACAGATCATGATGAGATTAAAGAGTATATAGACGCACGGTATGTCTGTCCTCAGGAGGCCGTGTGGAGAATATTAGAATACCCAACATATGATAGAAGTCATAGCATTACAACCTTACCCGTCCATCTGGATGGTGAGCACGTATGCTATTTTGATGAGAATATGACAGAGGATGAGATAAGAGAGAAAATAGACAATGATTCTGAGTTATTAGCATATTTTGATTTGAATAAGAATAATGATTTAGCACGGAATCTTTTTTATCATGAGATTCCGGAAAAGTTTGTGTTTAGTAAAGGAAAATGGAATAATAGAAAAAAGCATTTTAGTACAATCGGCCGGATGGTTAAGGTTTCGCCAGCCGAAACTGAACGCTATCACTTACGGCTGTTGTTGTTGAATGTTAAAGGAGCTACAAGTTATGATGATATTAGAACAGTAAAAAATTTAGATTTGAATATAGAGACCAGATATGCTACCTTTGCGGAAGCATGTTTAGCAAGAGGTTTGATTCGAGATGATGAAGAATGGAAAAAAGCATTAGAAGAAGCGAATAGTTTTGAAATGCCTTGGAAAATGAGAGAGTTGTTTGCTTTGATTTTAGTACATTGTAATCCAGCAAAGCCTGATGAACTTTGGAGTTTGTTTAAGAATGATTTGGCAGAAGATTTTGCAAAGAAACATAGCACTGAACTAGCATATAGAAAAGCTTATTTAGACATAGCGAAAAGAATTGTTGAAGCGGGAAAATCGCTTGCCGATTTTCCTACAATGGAACAGATTGATGATATTGATTTAGATATTGAAGAGAAATTTGATATTGTTGAAGAATTAGAAATAGGTCGTAGAAGCTATGAGTTATTAAACGATGAGCAAAGAGCAATAGTAGATGAGATTATGAATAGGATCTCCAGCCCCGATGGGAAAGCAGCATTCTACTTTCTCAGTGGACCTGGAGGATCAGGAAAGACATTTGTTATTAGTACAATAGTACATTTGATTAGAGGAATGAAAAAGAAAGTTAGTACTATGGCCTTTACTGGGATTGCGGCAACGCTTTTACCAGGAGGTAGAACTATGCATAATAGATTTGGTTTGAATTTAGACATGAGTAATTCGAAAATAGGTCCAAGCTCAAAAGCTTGGAAAGAACTCGAGAATATAGATTTATTTATTTGTGATGAGGCTCCAATGATTCACAAAAGAGCATTAGCTACTATTGATTTGAAATTGAAAGAGATTATGAAGAGTAATATAGATTTTGGTGGTAAAATTATGCTGATGGCAGGTGATTTTCGCCAGACTTTGCCTATCCAGAAGCATGCCACAAGAGCAGAGATATGCGATCTGACTGTGAAAAGAAGTAGATTTTGGAAAAGTGCAAAGAAGTTTAGATTGTCAAAGAATATGAGAGCTTTAGATTCAGAAAAACATTTTGCTAGAGAGTTATTAGATATAGGTTCTGGCATCCGAAACAATGAGCAAGATGAAATAGTGTTGCCAATAGATTGTATTAGTAAGGGTGATTTAGTGGATGAGATTTTTGGTTATGTTATAGCGGATAAGAATTGGAATGAGATGGCCAACATGGCTATTGTTGCGCCAAAAAATGTAGATGTAAAAGAATTGAATAATAGAGTTTTGAATATGCTCCCAGAAGATGAGATTTTGTATACGAGTATAGACAAAGCTGAGAATGAAGATAAGCAAGTGTTAGATGAGTATTTAGATGAGTTTTTATACTCATTAAGTCCCAATGGTTTCCCATTGCATGAGTTAAAGTTAAAGAAAAATGCTATAGTAATGTTGATTAGGAATTTGAACATAGAACAAGGACTTTGTAACGGAACTAGAATGTTAGTGCAAGAATTGAGAACAAACTTAATAGTTTGTAGACTTTTGACTGGAGATAGAGTTGGTCAATTGGTTTATATCCCACGCATCACTCTGTGTTGCGATGGTGAGTATCCATTTGATTTGCATAGGCACCAATTTCCATTGGTGTTAGCTTTTGCTATGACTGTGAATAAAGCACAAGGACAGACTTTAGAAAAACTAGGAATAGATTTAAGTAAAGATGTGTTTAGTCATGGGCAATTGTATGTGGCCCTTTCAAGGGTTAGATCTTGGCAAGCTTTGAGTATTAGGTTATTATCAAATAATAACGAAAGAAAAGTAAAAAATGTTGTGTTTAAAGAGATTTTAGATGAAAATGATTAGATTTAGTAAAATAGATAATAGTGATCGAAAGTTATGGATCCTAAATAGAAGAGATTGAGTTTCTTAGTAGGCTAGAAAATAGGCTTTTTATATGCAAGATTTGATATGGTTATTGTTTTTGTATTGTCCCACTTTAATTATATTACCCCTATTCACCTACTCACAAACTCACCCAATTTTGATATTTATATTATTGTATGATTTATTTTATTGTGAATAAAATGTTTTTAATTTGTTTGTCATTTTTTATTTTAGGGGTAATTTTAGTTAGGTTTGACCATCAATCGGAAAGGGAAAGTTCATTTGATATGTGATGTACCATATGGTTTGTTTTGATTCAAAGTTTTTGTAATGATTTGCTAGCGAAGGGGCTCGCCCGAAGGGCGAGCCCCTTCGCTAGTTTATTTAAATAAAAAGGAAGTTTTGTAACAATTATTTAAAAGTAAATTAATTTCAAACATTTTTAATAAAAACATTTTTAAAACAACAACAAAATAATAAAACAAACCCAAGTTTTATTATTTTTTTAAAAAACTTTTTTTTTAAATTAAAACATGCTTTTCCGTAAAACATGCTTTTCCGTATTTATTTTCAGGCATTTCTAATTGAAAAATAAAATTTTTCCAAGCTAACGAAATATTTTTTTGCTGAAAAATGAAATTTGGCTAGTTTATAGCGAATTTTAAGAGCTATCTAATAGGCTCAAAATAAAAATTTTAAAAAATCCATAAGGGGTCGGAAATATTTTTGTAAAGTTGCTTACCCCTGTTTTACGTTGATTTTTGGGGTATCGAGATCTCGACATTAAAATGAGATACGGGCCTAGTTCTTTTTTATTTTATCTTAGTATCGATCAGTATGTTTGCATGAATTTTTGTAGATTTATTGGTTGGGTGAATACTTAGTTACAAGACTTGTCCCTATCTTTTTGTCGGGCTATAATTTGCATAACTTTTTTATTCCAATTATTTAAGTATATCCCCAAATAATAATCCGCCAGATCTTATACTCATTAA